AAAAGTATAAATTGTAAAAAAAAAAAAACTACTGATTTGTATTGTGTGAGTGATGAAATAAACTGAAACAAATGAAAAAACTACATATCGAAGATTTTAATTTCCGCATATGAAGAATGAATATATCGTTGGTCCCAAACTTGTACAACCATAATGGCATATGAACGTTCAAAACTTGAATTTCATCCAAACAATCAGTGTTATGTTGTTTGATACCAACCGCTCTAAACGCAGGCAACAAATCCAATACAGTTCAACTGATCTACATATTTTGTACAGTGGTCATACAAAATAGGTAAAAGGTTACCAAAACAATACAAATATAATGTTTAATGATATAAAATCAATATAAAAAATTACCTTCATGAAAAAAGTGAGTGGAGTCCATAGCAAGTTTGTAGTACAATTAAAACAAACCTACAAATGAAGAATAACAAAACATATAAGTAATAGAAAATAAAGATCGTTATTTAATATTGTATAAAATTTTATATAGTATTACCTTCATATACGCTGAAAAACTTACTTATAATACTCATATTATACTGATATTAATATTGATACTAATAAGAATACTCATGCTAATATTTACTAATACTCGTACTTATACGGATATTGTATTGATACTCTTACTAATACTTACTGATACTCGTACTTATACGCATATTGATATTGATACTGATACTTATATTGATATTGATTGTTTTTAAACAAATATTGATACTGATACTAATACTGATACTGATAGTAATAACTATACTAATATCGATACTAATATTCATACAATAGAACATCGATAAATTAATACCCGATAAATTAATAACCTCGCTTAAATAATATTTTTTTCCGGTCCCGGCTCGGCGACAATGTGCTAAATTAATGATTCGCTAAATTTATAAGATAATACACATTCGAAAATTTTAAGAAGTCCCATATAATATATAAATTAATAATGCATAAAAATAATTCTTAAGTTACATGGTACAATACTTATTTTCTAGATATATGAAGTCTTAATACAATATAATTTAATTGTTAGTTGTTTCTTGTTGAAGTTCACATTACTATCAATCGCGTCCCTCACTTTTCTTAACATGGCTAGAATTCAGTATAGTTTTCTCATAACTCAACATAAAATCGTTATATACCATTGCTGATTTAAGAGCTTACGTTTGTGAAACGGACTTTATATTGCATTGAAATAATGGTACAATCAATAATATACACGCAAACAAATTAAAAAAAATGTATTTGTTTAAAATATAATAAAAGTAATTCATAAATTAATAAGTTATTAATTAATGTATAAATTGATAAGTTATTAATTAATGTATAAATTAATAATTATTAATTTACCGATAAGTTAATATTTCACTAAATTAATGAAATTTTGATGGTCCCAACTGTATTAATTTATAGAGGTTTAACTGTACTAATATTTATACTAATATTGATATTGATACTGGTATTGATATTGACGTCAATATTGATATTAATATTGATATTCATAGTGATACTCATACCGATATTCATATTGATACTAATATTGATACTCAAACTGATACACATACAGATACTGAAACTCACACTAATATTACTCATACTAACACTTATACTTATATTCATATCAATAATGATACTTATACTGATACTGATATTAATACTTATATTAATATTGATACTAATGCTAATATTGCCGATATTTATACCAATACTCATATTCATACAAACTCATACTAATATTTATACTAATACTTGTACTAATAATGATATTAATACTGATACTTATACTGATACTAATAATGATAATCATATTGACACTCATACTAATACACCTATTGATAATGATAGTCATACTAATATTGATACTGATACTAATAATATTGATATTGATACTAATATTTATATCAATATTGATTTTAGTCTTGATAGTAATATTGTTACTAATATTGACATTGATATTGATACTGATAGCGGTGTTCTAAAAATCGGCTGAGGCGGCCGATTAATCGGTCTTCGAGGCGGAGGCGGTCCAAAACCTTTACGATTTTAGTGTAAAGGTTTGAAATATCGGTTTTAGGCGGCCTAGGTGGTCTGAGGCGGTCAAACCTTTAAGGCGGGTCAAACTCGGGGGAAAAAAAGGGCAAAAAATCGGTCAAAAATCGGTTTTTTTTTTCTTTTTTTAATAATTCAAAATAAAAGTTGGGATTTTAATAAAAAAATATAAGTTTATCCTTTATTTTGTTTATGTTAACTGTTATTGTTAAAGAACTAACGGTGTATGCATGAATGTTCAAAAATAAATGTAAATTAAAAAAAAATGCCTTTTTATTTATATTTTATAAGGATACTTATGTATTATAATCTTATTATTATTAAACTTTTATTATAGTATTACGATATATACATAATGGAGATATAACTATGTTTAAATATATTT